CCGCCCTTCTCACAGGCACTGATGGCAGCACTGTAGCTGATCACGTCGGGCTGAACTTTCCCCTTGGGCATGGCTTCAAACAAGTCCAATGCTTCCTGCCATTGTCCGCCCTTCTCACATGCACTGATGGCAGCATTGTAGCTGATCGTGTCTGGCTGAACTTTTGCTGTAGGCATGGCCTGAAACAACTTCAATGCTTGGTGCCATTGCCCGCCCTTCTTACAGGCACTGATAGCAGCACTGTAGCTGATCCTGTCTGGCTGAACTTTCGCTGTAGGCATGGCTTCAAATGAGTTCAATGCTTGTTGCCATTGCCCGCCCTTCTCACATGCACTGATGGCAGCATTGTAGCTGATCCTGTCTGGCTGAACTTTCGCTGTAGGCATGGCTTCAAACAACTTCAATGCTTGTTGCCATTGCCCGCCCTTCTCACAGGCACTGATGGCAGCATTATAGCTGATCATGTCTGGCTGAACTTTTGCTGTAGGCATGCCTTCAAACAACTTCAATGCTTGGTGCCATTGCCTGCCCTTCTCACAGGCACTGATAGCAGCACTGTAGCTGAACGCGTTGGGCTGAACTTTCGCCTTGGGCATAGCCTCAAACAACTTCAATGCTTGCTGCCAAGCTTTTGCCCTGGCGCAGCTGGATATTCCAACTGTGTACTCAGCCGGCCCAGGGAGTGCCTTCGAGCGCCCCACTTCTGGTAGCAAAACCGTTTCAAGAGAGTGCTCAAGATTTCCTCAGTCTCGTTTTGGCAACCCAACTACAAGTATCTTTAGATATCTTGATATGGAGTTGTTACTTTGCCGGTGATGCTTCTACAGGTATCTGGCCATGTCCAAGAAAAAACAATTCAACACATCAAGGTTTCTTTCAGTCACCGCTTGGCACAGTTTCTGCACCAATTCATCCGCTCCTTGAGAATCCCTTGGCATCTTTCTGCGGCCTTTGGACCTGGAGATGGATCTCAAAGACTACAACCCCCTGGATCTGTGGACAGGGTGAATCCTTTCAGATTTATAGGTGACACTTATAACTTTTATTTTCCGGAGGCTCCCTAAATAGATATGTAATTATGTACATCCCAGGTATCTTTTGCCACCTAATATGGGAGGCTGTCAAATGCCTCACGCAGTAAACCACTTTTCTAATTTGTCCGTATCTTCGTATCTCTGCTCTTTCTTGAGGCTTCACCATTCTCCAACCAGGAGACATCTCCTTCGACTGCTTTTGAATGCGAACCAAAATGTTGTCCAGGCCAGCAAAAGGTGGTCCAGGCTGCGAAATTTTAGCCGCAGGCGAGTGGTTCCACTGAAGAGACATTATGCCTCTCCTCGGATTATTGAAGATTATTTTTGCACATCAGCAAGATATGTCCTGTAAAGGCCCTTTAGACACATGCAGCGACTTTGTACAGTAATTCCATGAGATTCCATGCAATTTCTATAGGTTCGTAGATGTCGCGGTGGAAACATAATGTCTGAAACAATCCTACATGTCGCATCTTTCAAACACTAGAAAAGCTCATAAACACTCACTTCATCGCCGCAGTACCGACGTTGGGGTTGCTTTTCCAAACATCAAACACGCAAAACCCTCCAGGAGAGTGCTCCTACCTTTAGCCTTTCCGCATCAGGAGCAAAGCCAGGTGGACAAACAAACATATCCGTCTCACCACCCAAACCTTGGGGTCGTTGATCACCATCCCAGGGTGCGGTGATTAGACCCCTACCAGGAGCCCAAAGGCATGTGACGGCCACAGGTGGTTGAGAAAAAGAGGTCCATGGGGAAACATATAACATAATATATATATATAACAATAGATAACATCCCTGTATTCAGGGGGTGCCGTTGTGTCAGGCATTGTGTAGCAAAAACAAATGTTTTTTCCTACAGAAAGGCCTGTCCGATATACAAAATGTTAGTTTGGTCATTACAAAATGAATTACTTGACATCATTGTGTACAGGGCTTCAATGGCTATACCTCAGGTCTTTTTGTTATGTGCTGTTCCAATCCCGAAATGGTTCACAGATTACAAAATGACATGCTTGTCCACACAGTGGAACTCATAAGGTTACAAAATGCATAGAACTCAGATCATGTTGTAACATGCTATTCCAATTCCTAAATTGCTCACAGACTACAAAATGCAATTCCTGTCCAAGAACAATTGCCTTCTACTACACAATCAAAAAGCCTGGATCATTCTGTAGTCCTGTTCCAGGATGATATCGCTACAAACTAGCTATATAGCGGCATCGACATCTTTTTGTAAGCCCCTGATGGGCCCACTGTCCCAGATTCTTAACTTACAAATCCTTACAAAATGAATGGTCTCAACCTCATATTGCATCAGTCACACAGTGAGTTGGGCATGTATGACCCTAGGATTTCAGGTATAGGCACTACAAAATGACCCCTGATATAGGGCCTTGAGGCCCTACATTTTGGAGAGGTTATTCGCACGGGGATTATATAACTATTCCTGTACCATGGAGTTTTTGGGTACATGGATGGTTTGGGATAAGAACCCTAAGCGGGGTGCCGACCTCGACCATGAAACTCGATCTTCACATCAAGGTCACCAAGGCGCCATGAGCGGAGCACTCGCTGTCGCTGTCGCTGCTCCGCTCTTCGGTCGGGCCCGACACTTCGGCCAGTGCGGATGCTGGGCAAAGGCATCATGCCGAAGAAAGACATAGCAGCGGTGCAGTGCTGGAGCCCTGCAGCCCCGAGTATCCTGAGTCCTCAGGACCTTAGGACTTGCAGTGTTTCTTCCTCGAGTCCGACACGATGATGTGTCAGGTAAGATAGCGTCCATATGTATACACATGTGTATGTATGTGGGTGTGTCTATGATCTATGTGTTTAAATTTGTGTACCTTATTTATTTTTTGAAGACCTGCTGGGGCCAGTGCAGACTGAGCATTTAGGTTAAGGGATGGACAGCAAACCACCTCCTGAGCCATTCGCACACAACCCACTCAGATGCTTGTGGGTCAAAACCCGCAGCCCGTTTCACTCTGGAAAAAAGGTTGACGACCCCCAACTGGCACGAAGGGTGGAGATTGTGGAGAAACGAATGGCTTTCCCTGCAAAGGTCAGTCAACCTCTGCAGTACAAACTCATAAAGACATATCTGAAACATTCCAAGGGGTGTCCTTGTCTGGAGATCCCTTATAAGTAGTGGGTGTAGGACCTTCCAGCCGGGTGACCCCGACATGAAGGTGCTGGTAAAATCTGAAACATTCTGAAACAACCACCCTTCTTATGGCGATTTGGAAGGACCCTCGATTACTTAAACCTTCGGAGCTTCCCTTCAACTGAAAAAACTCCCAATGCTTGTTTAATCCCCGTCCAAAAAGCCTTGCTTCAACATGTTGTCTCCTTTGTTCCCACAAGAGTCAATGGACCTTCATCACCTATACTCAGGAGTCTGCCCCCTTGTCGCCAGTCCTCGGACCCATCCTCTAGACCACCCCGCCATCCGCTCCCTACTTCCTCGCTCCGCGGATCGCGCGCCTTGGCCAAGAGCTTGTGCACCGCCGCAGCATCCCGCACCGGCCGCTCGGTGAAGTGATCGATGGCCTGTGCGATGGATCGTTCTGGTTAGATCGGACCATCCAGGGCCACTGGAAAACGGTGGATGATGATGGTTCAGTTGCAGGCTTGTAAAATAGCGGATGTTCTTGTTTACCGAAAAATAGCGGATGTTCTTGTTTACCGACTGCTACAGGTCATAGGACACCCCCAAACTATTCATGACTCTTCATAACTATTCCAGTCCCATGAATGCTCTGCATCAGTCGGGGCCCCAAACAAACCCCACGTCGTCCGACCAAAACCGCCTGCCGGCTGTCGGTGCCGTGCGCGCCAGATCGCTCCTGAGACAGACGATGGCTCGACATGCCAGGCTGGGCTGAGACTCCAAGCAGCACAACCAAAGACCAACCAATCAATAGTAGAAGTCTCGATTTTGAAGTAATACATGAAAAATGCCATGGAATGTTGCAATATGTTGCAATCATAGATAGCACCCACAAGAAGTGGTTGAGGTGAAGTGTTCATGTTGCAATCCTGGGGGTTACCAGTGGTTGCATGTAGCTAGAGCAGGAGAAAGGTAGGATTGTATACCAACAGGGTGCTCGAATTGTGCGTGCTTTGTTGTCAAGTATTATTTGTATGATCTTGGCTGCTATTATTGTTCTGGCCGTACTTGTTCACTCTGCCCCGTCATGCTATGGACCATGGACAAACCAGCTTGCCTGTTGACAAGGGCAGCAGGTCCTTCTCACTGTTTCGGGGACCCAAGATGTCAAAGACCGACTCGTTGTAGACCTGCGTGGCCAAAAAGGTGTGGCCAAACTGCCACTGATTTTCGGTCCAACCTGAGTCTGGAGCGTCATAGCGGGCAGTTCCCGGGAGATACCACGCTGGAGCACGTCCAAATTTCAGGGTGAGCTCAAAAAAGAATGCACAACCCCTAGCCCTACACCTCCAGTCGTACCTCCTCAGAAGGTATTTAGACCCTCCAAACCCACCCCAAACACCTTCTCAGAATGTACTTGGAGCCCATAGGGTAGGGCTATTCAGTGTCTGTCTACGAGTCTATACCAACTATAGTGACTGGGTCTGTCCATGTCATCCAGGGCCCAGTGGATGATGATGATGGTTCAGTTTGCAGGCCGTAAGTTCAAAATAGATGTTAATTATTGTTTTCTGACTGTTACAGGTAATAGGGCAAACCCAATGCACAAAAATAGTGCTCTTCAGCAAAGAGTAAACATATCTGCCTTCGAGGTTGTTCTATTGCTTTCTCAAGTGAAACAAAATATATGTCCAGTTTGTTGAACGTTGTCTCGCTGTTCGAGTTGAACAAACAAAGCTCATGCACCCCCTGGGCCTTTGTTGGGCATTCTGGATTCCACACATGAACATGACCATCACTTGTGAAGCAAGCGATGTGTTTGACAAATAAAGGTATGAATTGGTATGATAATGGCATCCTCAATTTTGCCGTTGTCTTTCACCCGAAGCTATAACAAAGTATTAAATTCATCTCCCAGTAATTATCCTTTCATCACTTACATACTTGTGAGCATTTTTCAACACATCTTTGCAATTCAAGCTGGTGCTCTGTGCGGTGGGTCTTCCAATGTCCCTATACCCGCGGCCCTTGTGAAATTGTGAGATACCTCACGGACCCAAAAGTAGGCCTCCTTGGTTATATCCCGTTACCAATAAAAGTGTTTCTGATGATGCTTAGTTAAAAGCCTTTCCCAAAAACAGTGACCAAATCTACCGACTAAGCTCGTGGGACACTGCGACCAAATCTAGCGACCTTCCTTTTAGGCCAACGAAACGTGGTCGTGGTGGCTTCCGGCACCTCGAGCAAGGTGCACTTGACTTCAAAGTCCCATCCTTTGCTGCGAAGCTCCTCCACCTGTGCGAAGCAGCAAAACGCCAATTTCGGGGAGAACAGCAAGGAGTGACTTGCATTTTTTCTTTGGGACACCCAATGATCAAATGATGAGAGTTGAACCACTGTTACTGTACAGATAAGTTGCTTGTCTGCTTTTCGTCTCAGTTGCTCGTCTCAAAAGCTGTAGCTGTGTCAGTTGCAGCTCTCTTCAGCAAAAGATCCGGAACCGGTCGCAACAGATCCACCGAGCTTCGCCTCACGGAATACCAGATCCACCGCGCGTGGGATCACCCCAGCGTCGGTGTCTGGAACCGCAGCGACGGTCGTGGTGTCGCGGGGACCATCCATGGTGTAGGTCTTGCCGCCTCCTGGCGCGCGGGCTGTGACAAATAAAAAACAATTGAACAAACAACGCATTAAGCATGCGTATTATATATGATACTATTACAGTAGTGTAGTATATTATGATATGATACTATAATATATTATATAATATGTTTCTGGTGTTTAAAGGGAGACCCGTAAATAATGGGTGTTGGTCAAAGTTCCTTCTGCCACATCCAAATTTGCTCCCAGAAGATTAAATTGAACATCGATGGCGTCGATGGCAAATGCAGCAGTGCAGCAATTGTCAGCCTGCGACTGCCACTACTGTCTCTGCTGGTTTCTGCCACACTCCTGTCTGGCCATAGGCAAAGATTGCCACCTTGTAGCCATCCAACGCCTAGCCACGTTCTTCAAAGCAGTACTGGTAGTTGAAGACAGTCTAAACTGGCTGTGGCTATGGACTATGGTACGGGCCATCATCAGCTATTCTCTCTAGACCCAGGCCATTCCTGAGCCAAGTGCCATTCCTGAGCCAAATCCCAAAGCAACCAGGCCTGTCTGCCAAGCAACATCCTTTAAAAATACCGTGGCAAACAGGCCTGGTTGCTAATAACATCCTTTTAAAAATACATAACATAACATCCTTTAGAATGGGTCCCGGAGACCTATACCTGCTCTCCCCACATGCTCCACATGCAGGCGCACGGCGCGCTGCCTGCGCTCGTGGCTTAAAGCCATGTTGAACATGGTAGACTGCCTGTTACACGTCATTTTGAGTTGCACACAAAGACCGCACTGTCATTATCCCAACGATTGTCATTTGTACCCACTTTTTCGAGGGTTGTGAGGCCGTTGACTGCCGTGATTTCAATTGATTTCAACTGATTTGGACCTCAGCATGACCCAAACATATGGCTGCTGTCAAAAGTCAAACAGGTAGGTCAACTTATTTAATTGAAATCATGCGATAACCATGAAGTTATCTTGGCAAGCAGTCAATACCGCTGAACTGAACTTGATGTCGCTCACATATCCAGGTGTCGTTCACGGAAACAACAAAACATATTAATTCACAATGCGACTCTAACAGGAAGTACAATCAAGCACAAGTTTGGTTATGTTTGGCTAGTGATTCTGAGTGATGACTCATACAGTAGTCTCTTCCTTGGACCTAACCAACCCACGAATACCTCCCAAAAGATCGAAAGTACCGATGAACCGAATCATCCGATTATAACGACGCCGCCCTGCGCTGACCGACTGCACCAAGAGGGAGAGCTCTTCAAAGACATCCAGCTGCGTGGCCTTGGGTGCTGATGTGTATGAAGCACAAACAAGTGTTTCCCGCTTGGCCTCCAGTCGTACCGAACCTGAGGTTCGGTGGGACTGGGGGCCCGGGGGCCAGGAGGGTCCAGTCATACCTTGTGACGAGGTACGACTGGAGGTGTAGGGTTTGAGCAAATTGGTGCCCATGAATTGAGCAAACTTGATTCATGCAGGAGCTCTGGTAATCCTTCAACTGTGCCCAATTCCATCAGTGGATCCGCCTTATATAAGCCAGCCTAGTCAGTGGGGACGCGGAACTGCTTGTGGGCCTGTGGATCCGCCAGCTACCACTCCTGAAAAAGAGGTCAACGAAGCCTTTCGCCGTTTGCACACCTGTGGTCCGAAGATCTGATCAAACTGGAACTCGTAGGAGTTGCAATGCTCACTGAGCCCTGGCAGCGACTGTGGTTTTTCGCGGGTGAGCGGGTGACCAATGAACGATGAGTTTTTTAGTCCTTAGGTGGATGATGGATGCACGTTTTGTTCACAACAACACACATCATCTGACCTACTCGAATGGTCCAGCCTAGGAAAGCCATCCTAATTTCTTTCACTAGATACAAAGATCCTAGGAAAACCATCTGCCAAGCCAAATCAAACCACCAAACGCAGCCTCCCTATCTTTCTGAAGAATTCTGATGTCTTGGCACATCAGTGGGTCAACTCATCTCACCTCGGACCTTCAAAATTGACCCTTTGTCTAAAGAGTTGCAGCTCCGGACTCGATTTTTTACTGCATGTTATCACATCATGATATTCTGATCCCTTCTGCTGAATTATGTATGTAGACTGGCCAGACAACAAAAATTGCTTCTTGAAACACAAACTCATGTCAATCCTTACCCCCTAGAATCCTACATTGGGAGACCTGGGGCCGTGTGGGCGGTAATGTTTCACACCTGAAAGCCTTTTACACATATAGATTTATAACGGTGTGATAATTGACCGTCCCACACCTGCCACGAAAATTGGACTTGGTAATTCGATCTGCAGCTGACCCTACAGCGTTTTTTTTCAACATGGTTAACAAGCATAAACTTTTGTCTGCCTGAAGTATATATATATATATATGCGTTCGTTCACATTGGTTTTGGGACGGCACATGGTGTCACAAAAGACGCGCAAATCAATTCCTCCACCACATCAAATGTGACACTTGTCACGGCCCTACAGCTCTCCTGTGACACTTCTAAGCATCTCCGACTGCAAGGTGATGCTCTGCTCATCTTCATGGAACACCACCTGTCAAACTCTCTGGATGGAAAGTAGACTCCCTCCAAAAAGGAACTACACCCCAAGGATGTAATGTGATGTAATTATGCGATATATGTACCGCGATGTTTGCATGATCAGCCCCTTCAATCTTCATTGCCATGTTGAAACGGGCTCTCACCTCACAAACCCTTAAATCATCTTAAATCCAAAGGTTCGGGCCGGGCTGAGTCAGTTCATGTCATTTCCAAGAACCGAGCAGACTCTGCAGACTCTGCAGAGCTTACGCTCGACGCTGGCATGGCTAGTTTGTCTGTGTCTACAAATGATTCACATGGACCACCACTGGGGGTTGATGTTCGGAAGATATGATCTTCTCCCACCGGTCGGTCCATTCTCAGGGTCGGGATCGTCTGCTGGCGGCACTCGCTCGCTCCGAAACCTCTTTAGCTCCTCGGCGGCTCGCTCGCTCCGTGCGCGCGCGATTTTCCACCACCACCGCCTTGGCTTCCTCCGACTCCCTGGGCAGCAAAGGCCGGAAGCGGCAGAAGACCCGGATGTTCCCTGGCGGGGCGGAGGTCCGGCGGAATTCAGCATGAAGATCGGGACGTGGAGGAAGAAACATAAATTATATATACGTATATGGCACTGGCACTGACCAGCTGATTCCAGAAGAGTTGTGTCATATTCTATTTTTTGGAAAGCAACAAAGTTGCGAACCGGTGGGGGGTAGGAGGGCAAGACTTTAGCCAGGAGGTCTAGTCCACCACTCCAATCGACCTTGACCTAACGATCAAAGCAGCATTGAAGAACATGGGAGGACCTGCACCAGGTCTTTGAGATGTCTCTGCCATCCAGACGAACATCCTGTCGGAAACACCTCTCAGCCACCTGTCGGGTGCACCACCAGGCCTTTGAGGTTCAAATAACCTCGATCCAGCGAGCGAGGAACGAGCGAGTTCGACCAGAGTTACGGCCCAAACCACTGCCATCCATGGGGGCGCCGTCCTTAGGGGTGGCTGTTGACCTGAAATCCATGTAGGATGAATCTCCCAGTCCAAGGCAGGTGGTGTTTGGGGATCTGAGGCTTGTTGATGTGGGGCATACCTTGGAAACAGTTCTGATAGTCCACTGAACCATGGAACGTGAGTGGACCGATCCGGACACCTTCAAACAAATCCTCAGAAGGTAGTTAGACTCACCAAACGTACCACAACCACCTTCTGAGGTAGTTGGTGAGTACAGCAATGAAAGAGTGAACTCCACTCACTCCAGTGTGGCCCACTCCAGTGGCCTGATTGGTGAATATAAATGGTTCTGAGTAGCATGAACATACATGCACGCGTATAGTCTGGTCTTAATCAACTAGTGTGAGGGTGGAGTATGATCTTTTAACGTGTATGCCATACTATATATATATTAATATATTTACATATCTACATGCAAGCAAGGAGCAACGAGGGTCTAAATAAGACACGACGATATACTCAATCTCTGCCCAAAACCACACCGGTTTCCATAATGGTGTCATGGAGCATACTAAGGCACCCTGGTGCGCGTTTGAGATCTGCTCTGGGGCATAAATATCAAAAACCAGTTCGTCCCAGGATTCACTGACCAACAGATTTGTCACATGTCGAGGCACTGTTGTGCAACTGTCGTGCTCGTGGAACGTTCTCTTCCAAGACCTGCCAGCGTTGCTCCCAGGGTGTGCTGATCAGGTGAATCATCTGAATGTTGCCAGTGCGGGCTTCGGATTCGATAGACAATTTCAATGAATAAATGTTCTATATTGTATATATCGGAAGATGTTTGGTTTCAATGACTCTAGATCAATACAATATTTATGTATAACATATATATATACATATCCACCGTCGACGAGCAATGTTGTTCAACCATAGCATGAATGGTCAATGCTTCAAAGGACTTGCGTCTTGGACACTTCAGTTCTCACGATTGCTCCGCTGCAATACCGTCAGGGAGTTGTTTTTCTCTTGAAGCAAATCACGCAACAAGCTGAAATAAAGGTGTTTGTTTGATTCTGATACCTTCTAGTTCCAAAAGCTCTGCTCGAGTACATATGCGCTGACCCTGATTTTCAAGGACTGAATGAACAAAAAATACTTTTGGACCAGAACTCTGTTCGTCCTAGTTGCAATGCATCTTTGATGATGCCCATTATCTGTGCATCGTGCATGCACGTCGGCGCAGCAGCATGTCAATCATTGAAACTGCACAATGGACTACAGTGTTGTGTTAGCACATGTTCGCACGAATGCAACAGCTGCCAGCAAAATTCTAATTACTAGAAGTGTGTGAGCAAGAAACGTGGTGGGAGCGAATGGAGAAGTGCAACTAGGAGCGAACCGGCTGTGGTACCAAATTCCAACTGCTTTCCAACGGCTGAAGAAAGGAGCCACCGCTACAATGGCAACAAAAACCTACTTGAGCAGTGGTACTACAGTACAGTAGCTCCATAAAGCCACACAAAATTAATCAAAATTCAATAACATTCAATAACAACATATACAAGCTCCAGCCATGCTTGGAGGGCCCTTTGTTAATCGTTGGTGGTCTCCCCGTTGTCGCACCTGCTGTCGTGCTTGCTGCTGATGACGCTCCTCCGCTCGAGCCAGCTCTAGCAGCTGGAGGACATGACGCTTCGAAGAGCTTTGCCGCTCGGTGTCTTCCTGGCGTGACGCACGTAGCATCTTCAGTGGCTCGGTGTGGGTGTCGTGCCTACCCGTGGCAGCGGGCCTTCTGTATGGGAATGACCTTTTTCTCCTAGGTTCAAGATGAGAAATGGAGAGAGACCAAAGAAACTGATCCTGCAATTGGGGAAGAACCTGTAACGCTGTCAAGAAAATGAAACGACGACAGAAGCTTCCAACACGTCAGAACAGTTCAAACAGTGAATCAAGCACCCAAACTCGACTCCACGCCTTTGCGCGACGAAGATCCTCTACTATCTGTCGATCCTCCTCCAAAGCGCTGGCCTCCAGGAAGCTGGTCTCCAGGAAGCTGGTGAAGCAGTTGGGATGAATGATGCTGCCATTGTTTTCTGAAGAAGAAGATGTTCGAAGAAGGAAGAGACACCCATCAAACATCATCAAACTCCCTTGGGGAACCCATCTCCTTGATGGCATCCCCTGCCTTTTTGCTCTTTCAGCCCTTCCCGTGCTGCCCGTGCCTTGGCCGCGAGCCCGGCCGCCAGCGAAGCCGCTAAGTCCTGCTCCGGCTGCGCAGCTGTGTGCAACTGCTGCAGCTGGGCCGTCAACGAGGCCTCGCCTGACACGGGCGAAATGAAGGCCTAGTGACTTAGCCGCTTTTCGTGGTGTTTTGCGAAAAAGGAATAGTTGTGAATAATTACCTATTCGGGAGAAGTTTGGATCACCAGGGAAGGTGAAGTATTGGCCGTTGACATATGCTCGAATGATTGTGGGTCGCATAGGTCAGCTGGGTGTTCTCTCAATGAATCTCACAGAGTGAAGACCAGTGATCCATTTCACTGAAGGTCACCATCCAGAATCCCATCTGTCTAATGATCCTAAATCACATTCTTACACTAGATTACAGATTACATATTCCCTACAAATCCACTCGTACGGCACCTCAGCTTCGGTACCACCGTAAACGGATCCCTCAGCCCTCACTCACGCCTTCGCGGAGCTCGAAGATCCGAAGCTCCGCCTCCTGGAGCGATGGCCGGTCGAAAGCGGTCGGCCGAGCCGAGCCCGGCCGGTTGAAAGTCGAGAAGAGCAGCTGCCATAGGGCTGGGGTCAAGGTCGGTGGTGTGACGAGGATCTTGAAAACTATAAGGTCCCTAGGGAGAAGGAAGCTGGTTTCATTTTTAAAAAAATCTGACACTCCGTAGTTGTTTCGTGTTCGTGCCCCTGTTGTTCAGGGAGTATTGGCGATGTGAACAGGCAGCTTCGTGAAGAGTGTTGCATCGTCACGAGACCACACCCACGCGGAAGACATACAAACGAACACAAGTTCGCTCTTTCTCCTTGGGATTGTCCAAAAGGGCTGAGTTTCCCTTGTATTATGGCTATTAATGCATACATTGGTGGTATTGTGTTTCACATAGCACCTGGCACCCGTCGAAATGCACAGGAACGAACGAGGTGGCTGAAGAAGGAACCAACGGTGGCTATGATCCATACGGTCGAACGCCGCCTGCCTACATGCAGTTGATGGAACAACAAATCCGCAAAACCATGCAACGCCCCAAATCCCCCATGCACCACATAAAAAAAAAAAAAAAACATACTAAAACACAAGGGCCCTGGCGCATCCTGAGTCTTGGCCTTCTGCTCCTTGCATTTCTCCTCCATTCGTTGCTGTGTCAACCGCTGCCGCTGGCGCAGCTCCTGGAACACCACCCGATCTCCGTCCCGATTCCGCACTCCGGACGGAGTCCTAGCCCGGGCTATTGGCCATCCAGCGAATATCCATGGGATCTCAAGGGACTGGAAGAGTTGCATCTCATGGGAGCTCATGCAGCTCAGTGAATGCAAGTATCTGTATAAGATTCTGTACGTATCTAAGCTAGTCTTACGGATCCAAACACGCCGTTTGCTCCCACAAAAATAACACCAAATGAAGAGCTGCACCAGACAATGATAACCATGATATAAGCACCAAGGTATAGCAGTCATCGACCACTTACATGATGTAAATATGGAACAGTTACATAATGTTACATACATTCACCTGCACATAACCCATCCGTGGTGCCGCAACTCTTCTGCTCCCACCGGTCCTGTACTCCAAATATGGAATTTAGATAATTTAGATGAATTTATTACATTGGGACTCAGGGGTGGAATGTAAGTACATAGGTCAATCCATGGATTCGTTTGGGATCAATTGAAATCGCCCGTCACAACCACCCGCGACGCGGAAAACGGAACGCCCGGGGCCGCTTTTTGGGATCCAACGGTTTCGTGCTGCTGCACCGCGAGCATATATAGCGTCCATGCGTTCGGTAGGCCTTGGGAGAAGAAACCGGGTGAGGCGGAGGCGAAACCGGTCTGACCATACCGGTAAGGCGAAAGCTTCAAAGCAATGTTCTCAGATTTGGGAGTTGATCCAATATGTTGATCCAAAACATCCGCCCCGAAGTTCCAACTTGAAGCGGAATCGAAGGACCAATATAGGCACAAGAAAAAGGCTGAAGCAGCTTCTTCAAAGGGATCCATTTTGGAGTCCCGCCATTGCTCAATGGCTACAAACAGCGAATTGCCTATATGGTGGATTGAGAGTAGATGGTATATGAACACCCATGTAAAGGACATCTTGAGGTCTGTGCCATCTGCTCTGAAACCACTGTAACCATCCCAAACCATCTTTCCCACGAAACCTGAGCAGAATCCATGAGACATCGTGGGATAGGACTGGGGTCTCGAGCAGCGAGAATCACAGTTCAAAGAACCGTCCTGACGCTTCACTGAAGCAGTCGACCACGGCAATCTTCCACCAAAACACTATAAATATCGTGGAACCCAAGGACATCTACAGTACCAAAAGCATCAGTAGTCGTCGTCGTTCTGTATAATTGAGGATTGGCCACCGTGGTATTGAACATTCTTAAACCATTCCTCTTTTCTCAGCCTGCTTGCGTTTAAAATTATTCAAGTCTCTTCCACTACTCCAGGCCTGCATCGTCAGCAAGAACCACGAAACATGCAAGTTTCACAAGGTGTGGTTAAAGGATACCTCAGGTGCCACTCCCCTGACAAACCATCTTAGGCGTCACCAAATGGACACAGCTCCTTCTTCAACAGGCAGTTTCCTTCTTCAACGGCTTCTGTTCAAGCCAGCTGCAGCTTGAGATCGCATCAGCGGCCGCGCGCTGTTGGTTTGCAGGCTGTTGAGGGCTCACAGGAGCTTCACGGTACATGTCGCCGAGGTGAGACCGATGAAGAGCCTCCTCGGCCGGTCAAGGACGCCTGCGGAACGTTCTCCAGCCTCCAACTTCATCCGTGCTCCAGCATCACCTTGCCAAAAAACTATTACCAGCACGAATTAGTCGAGGACGGGGTCAATACACTAAAACGGAACCAACCACCCATTGGATATCACACAGAAAGCACTTTCCATGCTTCCAAAACTGTTAGTCTGTTAGTGCTTACTAATATTACCTGTGTACTGTGACCGCTAACATCGCTAACTGCATAGGGTTTTGTTCATAGAGGTAGATGGTCTGAATTTCAGAAATGCAAGACCGTCCAAAAGAATTCCAGTCCTAAGAGGTGTTTCAAACGTAGCCCAAAGTCAGTGTGTTGGAGGTGCAACAAGAGTCTGGATCCAATATTTAAACATGCAGGTTCCATCTCATCCAGAAAGATTCAGAGGAAAACGCTAAAATGAACAGACTCGATACATCATTGAGGACACTCTTAAGACCAACACCTTTCCCTCTAAGCAACATGGCGAGGAGGACCGAATCTAACACGACGGCCTCTTCACAGGCTCCAGAATTCTTTAGTTTTCTCCTTCACAAGCTGAGAGTCCAACCACACCAAGGACCACTTCGAGTGGCCTTGCTTCGAAGCTCGCTGGCGGCCTCCACCAGGTCTGGAGCCATCACCTCCTGAGTGACGACACGGTGTGGCGATTCGCCATGGACCAACGGTGTCGCAAAAGGAACACGCCACATATTCCACAAGATGAAACACCGATCCTTGGACCTTAAAAAAGGATCCAGAAAAGACACCCTCATGTTGAGGCCAATAATTCAATGTATAGATCAATACACACCCAATATGATCAATACATAATACATATCAATACACCATCCAATGAAAGCTTATGTTCGTAGTGTGGTTGTGGTTCTCTCTTGTTTCTTTTTCACTTTGTACGAAAAGCGCTGCCTGACCATGCGTGTCAGCAGTTCCGTGGACCTCCGTCCTAACAGGGGACTTCGTTCAGGACGGGCTGCGAGGGTGGTGATGAAGAGATGTTACAATCCTTTAGTATGAGAACCGTATGATTTAGTCTAATTTACAAGCTTTCTTGACCCATGAAACGTTGCCAATGGTCCCCAGGTCTCCAAACCACGGGGCTCGACGGAAGCGCGACCTGGAAGCAGCGCTTCCGTCGAAACGCAGCGAGGTCCGTTGGGTCGACTCGTGACGACTCCTTCGTGGCAAACTTCGAAGGAACGAACACTGCGAGACACATCGAGTCGACGTCGCTCCTCGTCGTTGATCCAATACTGCAAGACATCCTCGTTCTCATCGATGGAAAGAGACATCCGAACCTGCAAAGCAACAAACACACCCATGAATCCACCGAATTGATGAAACCAACATGGTCTGCTATAGAAGAGCAAGCATCATAGAGGTTGCATCAGGACCACCTGCCCGAGTCACCCAATGGCGACCATGTCCATTGGACACGATGGTCCGCGAAGATATTGGACATGATGGTCCAGCAACAGTTGCTGGGGAGGTCTTCATGTGATCGGCAAAATGACCCCAAGGAATCCAAAAAGACGTGCCAAGACCAACATCAGCAACACACGTTTTGCAAGGACAGGGCTCCTTTTCTAGCTCTGTCGATACCGCCAAAGCGATGATGGTGTAATCTTCGGTTCACTCGAGACAAGTTGGGATATTATATATATAAGCTGAAAACGTAGTGGCTCTGGCTGGCCAATCAGTGACCAATAGGCATTGGGATCCCAAAAAGCAAGGGAAGTCTGCCGTGTTTGCGGCCTCTTCAATTTCTTTCCAGCGTATTCAAAGACTATCACACAAGGCCCTAAAAGAATCACTGAACTCTTACTGACCCAAGAGATCACAGCCAGGGGGCTGTTTGTCCGATCTGAATTGCAGGAAAGCTGTCGCTGAGTTTACCTGGAAGCAGCCAGATCAGTGAGTGTGGGTCAGTTTAAACCATCACTGACTGTCAAAAGATATGTCTATATGGTGGTTGATCAATATATGGTGGTTGAAAGGCTGTTTTATATAAACTCCTTACACGGGGTTTTCGATCAACTCCCATATATAAATATAAAACAGAGTCATGTGAGACTTGGATAATGAACATACACCTGGCTGTCTTTGTGGCATGTCAGGTCAAGTAGCATTCAATTGTGTGTAATTACTAGATTCACTATGTTGCGTGAAGGCTACTGGGAACAGCCTAGGGGCGACAACAAAAGCTCACCACACTGAGTATACAAATGGCAACTTGACCACTATAGGGCCTTTTTCGTTGTAGCCAACTGTCGAACCGCTGTGCGCATGGCTTTCCACAACTTCACCAAGATGCTTTCTATTCAGGCCGGCAGGTCCCATACTCCTTTCACCAAAGCCAAGCGTCGGCCACACTCGGCATCTTGGAATTTCTGGCAGACCCCAGTAAGCCCTACTCCGCCCAGCGCGACGTAGACCTCCTGATTGACGGAAGCGACGTAGACCTCCCCCAGGATGTGATGGGCATGGGCTCTTTCGATGAAACAAGTCTCAGAAAGGGGGTTGGACAATGGACCTTGTAGGAAACACGTGTAGAGCTGGTAAATTTAAAGCTGTGTAGGCCATGTAAGCATTTCTTGGAAGTCGTGCCCAGACCGCAGCCGTGCGGTGGCCAGCCTTCATGTCCCACACAACCCGAAGGAAGCCGCCACTCCCCAAACGGTATTCTCTTGGCAAGGCTCGCCGTCATAGGTGCCGAGGCCATTCTGCCCCAACAGGCCCACGTAGAAGTCACAATTCTTCCTGATGCGAAAGTACGTTTGTTGATGCGGCCTGGCAAGAGAACCACTAAACATTTGTATTGCACAACGAACCCCACACAAACAGAATAAATATAATTCTTAAAGCCCTTCAAAGCCTGTTGGACAGTGGTGAATTCTACTGTGTTTGTGTAAGCTCAAAAGGAGCATTTTGTAGGATAAATTATACAACAACGGGGTCCTTCGGTGATAGGGGTATGAAGGGCCTTGCTCGCTGGTATCAAGCAGCCTGCCAGTTGTTATGAGTCATTTGGTCATACCGTCATACATAACTCGTTCCGACCACATTAGAAGAATTCACCTCCTCCGCTTCGCCTGTACCAGTGCCCAAGAAACTACCAGGTACAGTGAAAAAGCTTGGGAACATGATATTGCAGCCCTAGCCATCTCCCGGTTTGAGGTGGAGGCAACCCCTGTCCAAGCAGGTTGAAGCCAAGGTTCTTGCTCTTTCTGGGCCATCAGTTAATCATCTATCAATACAAGTTCTGATTGGTGGGTCAACCATTGGTGCCCAAGTTTCATGTGTGTCGTCAAGGTCACCTCGATCGTCACCTGCACTTCATCCGGATGGAGCAAGCAAAGTCACAACAAAGCTCTTGAGGGAGAAAGCTGTTCAAACATAAACATGTTCAATCAAACTCTCTTCCAAACCATCCATGTATGGAAAAGTTATTACCTATACATTAGGAGCATAAACGGGGCTAATGTATGATGTAATTATTTCTGGTCTGGGAACAGGAATTTGTGTGGAACTACTTTACCGCGCGAAGTTCTTAGTAAACAGCATGTCGTGCCTGCCAAAGATCTGCTTGACCAGGATTAAAGTTTAACAGGTCAATGTTGTTCCCTGCCAAAGACTAGTTGAAGCTAGTTATCAGCCACACCTCAAACATGGATGTGAACTGCCCAAACATGAACAAGGTAGAATCAGCATACATCAGCTGCTGCTGTTCTATGAATCCAAGTTGACTGCAAAACCATGTTTTGAGGATACAACCGGCCTCACATGAACCAGCCTGCTATGGAGGATACCTCGTGTATACTCAAAAATGTTGTTACATGTCTAGCGAAGTAGTCATGCCTGGGGGAGACCATTCTCTTTCCGGGCAACTCCGGTGTCTCGCCAAGTTCTTCCGTGAAGGCGACGCAGCCAGGAGAATCCACCGTCTCGAAACTCAAGAAAAACCCTTCGAATGACTATATACCTAGGGATCCAAATACCTTCTCAGAAGGTGATTGGAGACACTGTTATGTAGGTGTGGAGGGTCCAATTACCTTCTGAGAAGGTACTTGGATCCCTAGCGTATATATACACACTGTTTGTGTTCTTGTGATCTTGAGATTGGGTAGGTGCTTGGACCTTCAACTGCTATGATTCCAGCATAATCTTTCAGCCATTCATTTCCAACAAACAAGAGGAAGGTGGCACACTCTGGATATAGTGTTTTTTTGGCCTTGTGTATCATTGAGATAGACGTGTATGGAAGGTTTCTGGTAGGTAGGGGCACCGACAAGCATTTCACCAATCAAACATATTGAGCAATCCAGATATCACAAGATTCCGTAGTCACCATAAGTGCCAGAGTTTCTGCAGTTTCTCTCACATCAAATCCTATCAAAGCTAACCTTGATTAGCTTGACTACAAGCTGTCGCTGTGGGCTGCCCACACACCCTGCGCCTTCTCTCCAGGTTTTGCGAACACCCCCTTGGACAGCACAATGCACCTGACAAATTCACCAAACACTGAATCCAAAATCAACCTACTCAAGTGGATTCGATCGCCTGTCACATGAAGGTCTCTGCCCCATGTATTGTAGACTGGTCCATGCCAACATTGACACATCTTGAAGACTGTTCAAGGCTGAAGTACCACAGCTGGTTCCCAAGCAGAGTAGAACAGGAACATATCTCTCGTGATGGTCTTTTCAGAGCAAAGGAACCCAGCTCAATATACACCAAAAAACAGCATCCAAAAGCTTCAGGTTGCACAGCTATGTCTTAAAATACTGATGCCATAATTTGTCCAACTAAGTCTTTAAATCCGGGTTCAGAATTAACATCAGAATTAAGTCTGTGAAACCAAGTCTTTGAACCCGGAACATCAGAATTAAAATCAACGATTGTGAAATTATTTGGATTCTGATGTTCCGGGTTCTTCAACCAAGGGCCCTTCCGAGTGCAAACTCCCACACGGAAAACCAAGGACTTTCAGGCGGTGAAAAGGTCAAGTTTGAGAAACAAACATGTTCCAAGTCGATTTTGTGTGGCCCCTTTCTTCAAGCAACAAAGAAATCCAGAAATCTTCCAAGGCACTGGGTATTTCCAGGACAAGCCTTAAACATTTGCTCACCAGCAGCTACGCCCTTTGTCACCTCCTTGGCTTTGTGCTTCGTGCGGTCAGTTGCATGTTTCCCACAGCCACCGAGCCACATTGACCTGCTAGCTGCACAGGGTGCGAGGTTGAGACCAGTGTCGACATGTGAGGTACCAGTCTGGACTTTGGCCAAGAGAAAGGGTCCATTCAACACGGAGTAAATCTGGAAAGTGACACGGGCAGCCAGCCATACCGTGAGCATAAAATCATTGTGGTTCAGACCAGTCATTGTTCGTTGTGGTTCAGACCAGGGCATATTGGTCATTATGGTCATCCATGAATTTTGCAGACAAAACCCAGGCGAACTGGCAAACTGTTGTCTGTCATAGATAGATAGATAGATAGATAGATTAGAATTGATTAGAATAGTTAGATTAGAATAGATTAGAATAATTTGATTAGAATAGATTAGATTCGAATATATTATAATAGATCAGATTTGAATAGATTAGATTAGATTAGATAGATAAATAGATAGATAAATAGAAAGATAAATAAATAGTTGCTATGTTTTAAAGATATATTGATAGACAAACAGATAGATAGATAGATAGATAGAATAGAATCGATTAGAATAGATTAGAATAATCAGATTTGAATATATTAGAATAGATTAGATTAGAATAGATTAGATTAGATTGATATAATAGAATAGAATAGATTAGATTAGAACTGATAGATAGATAGATAGATAGATAGATACATAAATACATATAGATAGATCAACAAATACATAGATTAATTGGTTTAGACTTGATTAGATTGATTAGATTCGATTCGATTAGATTAGATAGATTATGATCTACAGTAGTCTTCTCTCTTCACAGCATGTTGGAGAGACTGCTTCTATCAATTGCGTGCACGTAAACCCATCTCACCATACCCTCATCACTCCATTTCACAGTCTAGTTCATCTGGGACAACCAAGAAAGCTGAAAACCAAACAAAACCAAATGCTGGCGCCAGGGTTCATATCTTAAACAGTAACTCCCATACCATACCTATATTCTCAGGTTCTCAAATACTTTTCTTGTGGCTACGCCTCATCACTCAATCATCCACCATCCACTACTGCTTAAGGAAAACAACTTGGCCAGTACGAGTAGCAACCAAATTGAGAATCTCTCGGCCATTCACAGTGCGCTAAGCGCAAACTGTACTTGATCCACGGCTTGCATGGCGCAGTAGCTCAATTAGCATTGTGACCATTGCCCATGTTGGATTTGTATTGTTTTTGAGCAGTTCGGGACATCTGCTGTTGCTTTTGCCGAATTTGCAGGATGTGTTTTGATGAGTCACGTCGCGCTGACAGGAGCGCGTTTCGGAAAGCTCCCAACTGTTCTTCTGCACTTTGTCGAGACATCTGTCCACCAATCCAATTGAGCCGAATACAATGCTCCAGTCCAGGCGTCCGCACGGATTTGTCTCGTAGTCCCAGAACTCTGGCGGAGTCGCATCCGTCCGGGGCTTCTTGGCATCACCGGGCGCGGCGCCACGCGTAGCGGGGCGCTTCATGGCGAGGCCCGGAGAAGAGACGTGGAGCGGTGGGTCAATGAAGAGTGGATGTCTATCCCTAGGGTTCCAAGTACCTTCTCAGAAGGTGGACACTCCACACCTGCATAACAGTGTCTCCAATCACCTGAGAAGGTACGACTGGATCCCTAGGGTATGAATGATTCTATGGCGACAACTCATTCCGTGTTTCCCTTGAAGTGGCATCTGAACCATGGATTTGGAAGTGACCGGCTGCTCAAGCTTGCTCGTAGACATAAATGGTATTATGGTAAGGTACCTTGATTATAGTTGCAGGCTAGCTAAAAGGAGAACCCTCAAGCGTGGATGGAAAGGCATTGACAATCCATGTTTTGCCAGGTAGCTTTGCTCACTAGAGGGCTAGAAGATCTCTGTGAACCAAGAGATGAAGTGCGCTAAGCGGATATATAGAAGTTGGTTGATCTGGAGGCAGATGGCGGGCATATCCAATCAGATTGCTTATTATAGCGAGTTACGTTTGGCCACGCTTTTCTAGCTCAAAGAGTTCAAACAACTCGAATGAAAATGACACCGGCCAATCACAACAAGAGTCTCAGTGGGTGAATGATGCTGAATATGTTTTTTGTTGTGCTGAAGGGGCGAGGCTTCATGATGTCCATGCTGCAGCAGTGGTGATTTTCATGAATCCTCAAACACGGGGTGATGTTTACATCCGCACAGAGCGTATATCCCCTGACTTCCTCTCAAAGCTTCTGCTGCCGGACATCGGTCTGTGGACATCGGTCCTCGTTCTCGCGTCTAAAAGAAATACTTCTTGGGCCTGCAAGAACATCGACACACATGCCCAAGCTTCTTCGATGTGAACACCAGTTGTTCGATGTCGCATGATTTCTGGCAAACGGTGCCGATCATTTCAGCATCGGCATCGCTTGAACACAATCGCAGGCAAAACGTGCGATTTCGCAAAACCATGACGAAGCATCATCTCTCCATCCGTGTCTCCCAAACCGGATGAATTCCAACTTCCATCAACTTCCCAAACCGCGCAATGAAAGGATATCAACTTCCCTACGGGTCTTGGGTATCGACTGCGACTGGCCGTTTTGACGTAGGCCCCGAGGCGACTGACTTCTACCCTTTAGCCAGGAAACAAACGTGTCAAATCAAATCCATAGAATTGGAGTTTGAAGGAAACCCAAAAAGACCCTTCCGCGGATCACATGTGTTTTGTCTTCCAGGTCTCTCCCGCGGATCACCGCTCCATGAGACCCATCTTGGCCTTGCCCTGGGTGCCATAGATATTGCCGGGAAAAGATACATCAACTGTCCCAAATCAACAGGTCGTCTAGGTCGTCTGTCGTCTAACAGGGCGAACTGGGGAGACCTGACACGGACCGAACTCCTCGAGGACCGGACCTTCAGGACCGATGGAGGTCCACCGACCCTTTTCGGTCGCTCACAGCACCTTCACGCTGCACGTGGCGCCCGTGAGGCCGATGAAGAGTCTCCTCGAAACGTCGCGAAACGCGGATGGACGTTTACCGCCGCGCGGACGCGGAAAAGCGCGCGGGTGCTTTCACCGGTGCTGCTTTCACCGGTGTTTTGGTTCCGCTTGGATGGGAGTATAGTGCGAGGAGGTTCGCTCGCGGGCAAGACTTTGCACGTCTGTGGGTCCTGAGTCATTGAAGTAGACCACAAAACAACAAACGGGTGGGGTTGTCCAATGCAGTGCAGACTTGCTTGTGAAACAAATTGCTTTAGTGTTCAGTCTCGACCATGCAACCAGAACTGCAGTTGGTGGACTCTAGATTCCTGCTTCCAACAGATTTCCCCCATTCGTAGGCCTCAGTAGGCACACATGGCATATGGGGTGTCTTGGAAATGGATCAAAGGAACTCCCTGCAAGACTTAGCTCCACAGAGATGCATGAGATACTTGCATTCACAGGGGGGTTAAACCATAGTCGTGGTTGTTGTTTTCCTGCCAATTCTCTCCTTCCATGACATCTTACTCCTTCTCTTAAATGCCAAGAGTCCAACCGCGCCAAGGACCACTGCGAGTGGCTTTGCTTCGAATCTGACTGACGGTCTGAACGATGTCCTGCTCAGTCACCTCCTGCATCACCCAGGATGGATCATGACGAGGGTCGGAGAAGGATCAACATTATATTTTTTGAGTCAACCAGTGCTGTAGTACACACCTTCAACCATGTGCAGCCGGGCTGACAATGGGCTGCCATTGGTGCTGTTTCATGAGATCGACGTTAATCTATGAGCCATGGGAGCCCTGTTGGAGCCACTTGAGGCCGAAACCTTCAATGGAAACCTTGGAAACTTGAACACCCATCTTTTTCACTCATGGACAACCAGGAGTGGCTCTGGTGTCCCTTGGATGCTGCGCATTGGATGCAAAATCCTGGTAGAATCATTCTAGAAGGGCTCATGTCATGGCCATGTGGATTTCCCATGTTCAATCCAACATATAAAATCCAACCATTGGGCAAGAGAATCACCCCACAAGATAACACAACTCCTCGTCATTGATCCAATACTGCAAGACATCCTCCGTTTCATCGATGAAGAGGGACATCCGAACCTGCAAACTAACCAAGGTACTCGTGGACAAATGCGTGCCCCTGGTATGTGTTTGCACATCATATGATTCTATATACGTGTGTTTAGTTGATCAAAGCAAGCAATACATCACAACAATGCAAGTGCATCCATTCGCATATGAAATGAATCAACATGACATGCTGTGGAGGTGGATGCTCCAGATAGGCTTCATACACCATGGAAACATGTCGCTCATCTCAGGTGATGGTCTTTTAAGAATGCCATACTGGTTGGTGTTTTCAGCCCATAAAAAATATTAGTCAAACGGTCCAATCATCCCCAAGTAAGGGTTAATACAAAAATCCGAAACCATCAACTAGCATAGCTGTAGAGGCAATCAGCAAAACCTTATATATGATTTTCGGATTTAGGGCACCACACATGTTGGATCGTTCTGGAGTATGTGTTATTTTTCTATCCTAGGCCCGAGGCTTCTGCTGCCCCCAAAGGTGTTTCAGATCTTAAAAGTAATTTCATCCATGGAGGCTACATGGTATTGGCATGGAGGGGTTGACTCATCAGCACATCTATACAAAAAAAACAGCAAAGCCTCCCAAACCTACTGAGTGATCATCGACAAGTGCTCAATACCACGACATCATCCCACAAAAAAAAAAACGACCAGCATGTCGTCTTCCACTCTGGCAGTGCTTTTGAAGAGCATTACATGTAATCTTGCTAATCACACCATATCACACCAAGTCCATCAACAACACTACCTCTCATTTCTCCTCGCTTCTCGCTGAGCAGCTCCCTCGGTGCTCCGGGCTCCGACGTTTGGCGCGCCGCTGAACCCGGCCGGCTCGTGCGACGGTACGCGTTATACTCAACGCCGCCGGGGAGCGACGTCTCCGCATTCGATGGCCGGAAAGCTGCCGCCGTGTTTGCCTTCGGTGCTGCTGCCGCGGACGTCGTGGCGACGGAGCGGAGCCCAAAGAAGGACGAAAGACCGCCACTCCCAACTGACACAATGGACACGTAGACCGTATACCCTTCAACGACCGCGGGCTTCCAGACAGCGGGGTAGTGAAAGCAACGATTTTGCGGTATGTATCTTCTGCTTGAATTTGGGATCAGCTTGCCAGCGGTCCGCATGGATACATGTTGCAAGCACGTGGAAGTTGGTCGCACCGAATAAAGCGCTCATCAAAAAGCTCCAAAACATGCACATTCATGACCAAATTGGGGGTGGTGCAGAATTAAACTGCAAGTAGTCTCTTGAAACATCCTCTCCTGCATGGTGTGGTCAACGTTGCCAAATTGAGCTGCATGGGTTCTGTCATGTTCTGTCTGAAATGGATGTTACCCAACTAACGGGTGTTGTCCAACACCTGTGTTCCCACCAGGTCGGTACCAACTCACCGAAACAGAGTCCAATGAGGTGAAAACCTTGCGGTGAAAACCTTGGTTTTCACGCAATCTTTGGAGGGTGGCCGAAGTTTTGAACCAAAAACGCAAAAAAAACAACGGCAGGTCACTCACATTTAATTATACTGTATGGTCACTCGGTGACCACTCGTCACTCACCAGATCGAGACACACGTCTGCGAACATGTGAAGTTGCCATCTCTTGCGTCTTTTGCCAGGTGGCCAGACTGAATCTGGTCAGGCCAGGCTTTCCGATTTTTTGAGAACAATTCTAGCAAAACACGTACGACGATATGTTAAGTCTGAACACCACCGAATTTGTTAACACCGAAGTCACTGCCGAACTCGGCGTCTTTGAATTTCTGGCAGACTCCGCTGCGCCCACTGCCGCCGCAAAGCGCGAAGTGGACCTCCTAAGAGCGGGTTCCGGGCCAACAAGTTCCTCTCTCCGGGCTGACGAGTTTGTAACATTGGAAATTCCAGCAAAGATTGAAGGACCCTATAGACTCTAAGACTATCCCATAGGTACCCCAGGTGAAGGGTCCTTTGAGATCACTTATACAACCTCTCTTGCTAAGGTCAAGGCCGAGCTGGACAAACGTTGTAGTTGGTTGACTGCAGGGACATGCATGACGATTGACGGCGGATCTCGCAAGTCGGTCAGAGAGACATGTTTTGTAGTCGATTGTAGTTTATCATCGATCGAGTCAGAAACATGCATAACTTGTTGATGTTAGTGTTTTTGTGCACATAAGATCATATAAGGTTGTTGATGCATGTTTCTGGCCGCTGCAAAGGTGGCAACAAAAAGGACCCAAGGGCCCAAGAGTTTAAAACTTGGCAGATCAGGAGGGTCGAGAGAAACCTCTTTCAAAGAAGAATGAAAACACGTTTTCCCAACTCTTCCAGGAAAAAACAAGACACAAAAAGGCTAAGCGGCTATTGTCTTGACGAGGCTCACCGTCATAGGTGCCAAGGCCATGATGCCCCAACAGGCCCACGTAGAAGTCACAATGTTTCCTCAGCTACGGAAGGCAT